CCCCATAGTAGTACAATGTTACTATGGTAACATTATATTACTCTGCTCACTGTTTATTATATATAAAAAAAAAATCTGAATTTTTTTTGTAATAAAAAAATGTAAAAAATATTATTTTAAATTGAAAATAAATTTTTAAAAACATTTTTTTGTACTGTTGTGTCACCAGTCCGTGTCCCTGATCACCACCACACCAGTTATATGATGACACTTTAATGCACTGTAGCAAAAAGTATTAGCAGTAGTTAAAAAAAAAAAAAAAAAAAAAATAGTGAAAATGTTTTTTTTTTAATTTCTTAATTTTCCAAAAAATTATGGCAAAAAAAATTACAGCTACAATAAACTCGCCATGTCTCTTACTAAATATCTCAGACTGTCTACTTTCCAAAAAGGGGTAATTTGGGGATATCTGTACTGTCCTGGTCTTTGCGGCCTCAAGAAATTAGATTGGCTGTCAATTCAGCGGGATTGATTGATTTTTGGATATATAAAATAGTTTGTGGACTCTATAACTTTCCTACAGACTTAATAATATACACTGATTTGGGTTATTTTTCACCAAATGAATGTAGCAGAATACATTTTGGCCAAAATTATGAACAATTCTTTATATGCAAAAATTTTTTAACAGAAGTGAAGAATGGGCAGCACAGTGGCTAAATGGTTAGCACTTCTGCCTGGCAGTACTAGGGTCGTTGGTTCGAATCCCAGCCACGGCACCTCCTGCCTGGAGTTTGCATATTCTCCCTGTGCCTGCGTGGGTTTCCTCCAGGTACTCCGGTTTCCTACCACACTCCAAAAGACATGCTGGTAGGTTAATTGGAACCTGTCTAAATTGGCCCTTGTATATGAATGTGAGTTAGGAAACTTAGATTGTACACCCCTTGAGGGTTAGGGACTGATGTGACTATACAATATATATATGTAAAGCACTGCGTACTATATAAGTACCTGAAATAAATAAAATAAGAAAAACTGTTTTTTTTTTTTTTTTTCAAAATGTTCAGTCTTTTTTCTTTATTCTAGCATCAAAGAATACCACCATAAGAAAACTCTATTTGTGTCAACAAAATTCTAAAAATTTAGTTTGGTTATAGTGTTGCATGAGAACAATCATTCAAAGTGCGACCGCGCTGAAAGCTGAAAATTGGCCTGGGCAGGAAGGTGGTAAAAATGCCCGGTATTAAAGTGGTTAAATCAGGTTTGGTCTCCACCCAGAGACTGTCCACATCAATTACCTTGCAGGTGGACAGACAGAAATGAAGAATGCATCATAGTCAAAACCAGGATGCTGGAAGACCACGAGCAACTGTGATGGAGCAGGAGTGCTACACAACCCTGACAGTCCGCCATAGTCTGCTGTCAAAATTCGGACAAATAAAAAATGGCATGGATGTCATAAAACTGACACATGTCCCATTCGGGTTCAAATCAGCCAGGGGTCTGTTCATGGATCCCCTGCTGAGTAGCCCAGTGTGAAAGGACTCTCAAAGGTATAATTCAATCAGTTCAAAAATCTGAATTTCATGCAATTATAACAGCCACACATTAATTAAACTGTACATTTATTAATATACCATCAAATGTAATTTTAATGCATGCAGTGTAAGGACCTGAACCTGCCTTTTGTATTTGTCTCTTGCAATTCATTGTCTATAAGTATAGGAAAGGGAGTTGCAGCACAAAGAATCAGTTGCTGCAGTGCTCGTGATCTAATAAGGGGACATGCTGATAGGAGGAAAGTGCAGAGTAACAGATGAGCTCATTGGTCTGCTACTTCTCCATTGACTGTACAATCACAAATTGCCAGAGGAACAAGACCCGTTGTGTTACGTAACTTCAGCAGAGAGAAATAAGTTATCCTGTCCTGCCAAATACATGTGTACTGTGTGGAGACGATTTGTAAATCTCAGGACTGGATGGACAGAAACACAGCAGGTAAAACCATATATGTATTTGTATCTCTGTGTTTAGCTGTCTGCTTAGAGTTTAGCTTTAAACCTTGAAATGCATAAAGGGTCCATCTATTTCAGCTTTTGATCTAGGCATTTGTTGTAACACTCCAGCCCACCCCTGTACCTGCTGACCCACCATCTCCCACTAAAGCAGTGGTTCTCAACCTGTGGGTCGTGACCCCTTTGGGGGTCGAACGACCCTTTCACAGGGGTCACCTAAGACCATCTGGGAAAACACATATTTCTGATGTGTAAAGAGCAGCTACTCTGTAGAAAGCAGCTACTGTGTAGAAAGCAGCTACTGTGTTGAAAGCAGCTACTGTGTTGAAAGCAGCAGTATTGGAGGTAAAACGACACTTCATGAATATATAATTACTGGGTAAATAATTTTATGGTTGGGGGTCACCACAACATGAGGAACTGTATTAAAGGGTCACGGAATTAGGAAGGTTGAGAACCACTGCACTAAAGGCTCCTTGCTCTCTCTAACAGACACAATAGGTGACATATCAACATTAGCATGCTTTCTACATCCACCAGACTGATTCAGTATGTATGACTCTTTGTGAAATCTGGCGACACTGGGCTACCTAGAACTAAATGAAAGTAAACCTGTAATTTGCTAAATTTGTAGGATTCAACAACTGCTCTCTTTCTGACAAATTTAAGCTGCTTGACTGGTATGTTGACTTCAATACATTTTACTCACTAATCTAGAACAATCATTCAGAACAGGAGGTCAGAGTCAGACTTTTAGAATAGGAGGTCAGACTTTTTTTGCATATTGGGTCTAGATTAGTGGCTCCAATTGTTGAAGAAAGACAGTAAGCTTTGCTTGGCTGTCATGCTGACTAGTTTGCAAAACGAAGGAGAGCAGCAGTGACTATTTTTTATTACATGCATTCCTGTGTGGAGGCAGATACACATGGGGGTTAATTTACTAAAACTGAAGAGTGCAAAATCTGGTGCAGCTGTGCATAGAAACCAATCAGATTCCATGTATTTTGTCAAAGCTTATTTGAACAAGTTAAACTTAGAAGCTACCATAGACAGCTGCACCTGATTCTGCACACTCCAGTTTTAGTAAATCAGCCCCATGGATCTTGTATTCAAACAATATTTGTTTAGCCCGAATTTCAGCTTTAAACAGAACTGGAGTTTGCACTTGGCCTGCCTTTTTCTGGTGTGGTGTCCGAAAGATTAGTCACCAGTGGTCTCCTTGCAGCTGATCTTTTCCATTTTTTTTTCAATGCCTTACCATTGGATCAGGGGTGTCCTGACAACTCATGGGGCCCCCGGGCAATAGGGGATCATGGGGCCCCTGTGTCCTTGCCCAAACTCAAAAAAGCCCATGCAAAAGGTACCAGGGGCATCTCATGGGGCCCCCTACTGACCCTGGGCCCTTGGGCAGTGCCCGAGTTTCCAAATGGTCAGTCCGCCCCTGCATTTGATTCCTCATGTCAGTCTCCAGCAAGGAGAACACTGAGCTGTACAATAGTAATATCACCAGATCTCACTCCAATTCTCCCAGGACTAACAGTCAGACACAGCAGTGCCTTAGGTTTCACACTGCGGATGTACAGGTATGGGGCTTTAGGCACACTCACATACCAGGATGTTCACTATTTTTTAACTAGAAGTCAAACGGAAAGTCATTTTCAGGTTTTTGCTTAAGACAAGTAACATTTCTAAATATTCTCTACAACATAGCAAATCTTTTTCATTCAATTCTATTCAGGTAAGATGAAATTATATTTTTGATTTCAGCACAGTTGCAGTGCTTGTTGAACTTCAGTAGCATTTCAGTGACTGCCTTCACTTCTAGATTGTAAGCTCGAAAGAGCAGGGCCCTCCATCCCCTCATGTTTTACATTGTATTGGTATTGTTCTGCCCCATGTTCTGTCCCCCTTTGTAATGTACAGCGCTGAGCAAACTATTGGCGCTTTATAAATACTGTATAATAATAATAATAATAACTTCTAGAATTGGACTGGAACTTTAAAATTATTTTCAGACTCCAATCTCTAACTTCACAGTTGAAGCGTAGGGCAGTACGTTCAGTAGCAGCTCCCACATTCTTCTAACAGAAGTGTATTTAGCAGCGTTCTCACCCACTAAAGCACAGCATACAGCTGGATTCCAAGAACAGACCCAACAGATGTTACCAGTCACTCTCCCCATCTTTCTACCATGGCAGAGTCTCTGGCAGCTTTGACAAGCAGAGGCTGTGCCATCAAAACAAGACATTTTATTACTTGGAGAAGAGAGTGTGGGAATAATCTGCAAGGGATGTATAGAATAGGTGCAGAGTAGTGTGAGTCTAAATACGCTAGTCCTTGAAAAAGCACCCGAAGTGCTCTGAATCTGTCTGTTGTAACCCTTTCTCTTGAGCTTTTTTTTTTGTTTTGTTTTAGCACAGAGGATAGCATTGCTGGTTCTGCTTTCCAATTAGAGAGTTAACCAAGCACTTAAAGCTTGAATGTGTTTTGTTTTAGTTTTATCTTGCAGTGCAGTGCACAGTGGGGTGTGTTTTTTAAGCTGCACATATTTCCTCTGGCTGCTTCGAACAGAAACTGGGTCACAATCTTCTAGTGACAGTCACATACTTTGCAGAGCACTCACACCGAGATAACACAGATCTTCTGAAAGCCAGTCGAGAGAGTTCCAATATGTTCCCAGCTGCCCTATAGACAACCCAGACTTTTAGATGAGTTAGCAATTGTCTGATAAAAGTACGCTATTTACATTGAAGCCTACCATTGTAGAGTGAGCTTTGTAACAATAAAAATAATAGACAAGGCAAACGGTTTCCATCTGCATACAGATGCAAAGAGAAGTCTTAAATTTACCCTTTTGTGGCAAAAATCCTAGTAAAATGGTAGAAATAATGGAAAGCATCTCAAATGCTTCTAATTTTCTTAACTTTCAGACGTTCCCCAGAGCTTTAATGTGATGGGGGCTCTAATAAAGCGAATCTTGACTATTGATGAGAAAGCCAACGGCTGGCTTACCCAGCCTTCTGAAAGTCCTCTTTTTACATTGAGGCTGCCCAATAAGGAGTTGCATGAGGCAGAAGGTGACAAGCAGGGGCGGACTGACAACTCATGGGGCCCCTGGGCAATAGGGGATCATGGGGCCCCTGTGTCCTTGCCCAAACTCAAAAAAGCCTATGAAAAAGGTACCAGGGGCATCTCATGGGGCCCCCTACTGACCCCGGGCCCTCGGGCAGTGCCCGAGTTTGCAAATGGTCAGTCCGCCCCTGGTGACAAGTCAACCTTCAACTTTCTTTGGAAGAGTTAAAATGTTTATTTCAGTGTGCCTTGCGGTTTAGGGGTTTCCAAGACTTTTCTGAAGCTAAAGAAAGTTATGTATTTGCTGCCATTTACTCCCCGGTTACATCAAGCCCGACTTTAAAATCGTGCGACTTACAGTAAAGTTGCACAATTTCAAAGTTGGGGGACATGTTGATTTCAGGTGCAATTTGCAAGACATCTGACACTGATGTCTATGCAAATCGCATAAAAAGTAATGCATGTGCTACTTTAGAAATTGGTGCGGCTCTGACCAGGTCGAAACCGCATCGATTGACCGCTGTAATTGCGGACAATAGGGTGCGACTTGGCATACAATTTGCAAGTCTCATGGCATGCAAATCGCATGTCAAGTCGCATCCAGTGCGACCGGGGTGTTAAAGGTGTTTTTGAAATTAAAAATTTGTAAGATTTTGAGATGGTCATTCCTTCATTTAAGAAGAACTTGTAGGAAAGCTAGAGATTCCACAGTAGTGTGGGGCCTCAGCTATCTGTCTACTGGCCAAACAATCTCCCTTATTGTTGAATTTGTCTTGCAATTTTTCAGATTTAAACTCATCCATATAACCCTAGCCTTAGACATTGACAGGTAGATATTTCCTTGAGAACAATGTGGCAGGAAATATCTATCCTTCTTTATAGTTGTTCTAAAGTCAGAATGTTTTATAAAGACATTTTATACATTAAAGCGTAACTTTACCCATAACAACTTGATAAAAATAATGTTCTTTATCAAGGAACATACATTCCACATAAATAATTATACTACCAAAATTAGTGGGTGCTGTAAATTGCCTCCAGCATTGTTCCTGTTTCTTCTTGCTGGAGGCTGCCATTTTGTTGAAGCCCAGAGCCTCTGAACAGCAGTTAATCATAAAGCGGAACTAAACCCATTAATATAATGGTTTCAAAAAAAGTTACGTTCCAGGGATGCTAACTGTCACATTTGCTTGTGTCCTCAATCAAGCTGTCAAACCATCAAATGGCTGATGTTATAACTGATCTCATGTGGAGCACCATGACAGTTGCAGATCAAACAGAAGCAGCTTCCTTGGCTGTAAAGGATAGAAGGGTTTAATTTCACTTTAAGGCTGTCAGCAGATTGGCTTCTACAAATTTGGCAGTGCCTAAAAATATAGAGCAACTGAGCATGTGCAGAGCAGGGTGAGACAATGTATTACTGCTTTTTAAATCATATAAGCACTTAGAGTGCCCTGAAAAAGTATTCATACCCCTTGAAACTTTCCACATTTTGTCATGTTACAACCAAAAACGTAAATGTATTTTCTTGGGATTTCATGTGATAGACCAACACAAAGTGGCACATAATTGTGAAGTGGAAGAAAAATGATAAATGGTTTTCAAAATTTTTTACAAATAAATATCTGAAAAGTGTGGCGTGCATTTGTGGAGTACACGACTAATAGTTGTCCTGTGGGCAGATTCTCCCATCTGAGCTGTGGATCTCTGCAGCTCCTCCAGAGTTACCATGAGCCTCTTGGCTGCTTCTTGGATTAATGCTCTCTTTGCCTCGCCTGTCAGTTTAGGTGGATGGCTCTGTCTTGATAGGTTTGCTGTTTTGCCATACTCTTTCCATTTTGGGATGATGGATTGAACAGTGCTCCATGAGATGTTCAAAGCTTGGGATTTTTTTTAAAACCCTAACCCTGCTTTAAACTTCTCCACAATTTTATCCCTGACCCATCTGGTGTGTTCTTTGGCCTTGGAGGCAATTGGTTCCACTAGATTTTCGTTAGGGGTATCATAGTAAAGGGGTCTGAATACAAATGCACGCCACATTCTTCAGGTATTTATTTGTAATCATTTTTGAAAACCATTTATCATTTTCCTTCCACTTCACAATAATGGATCACTTTGTGTTGGCCTATCACATAAAATCCCAATAAAATAAATTTCTGTTTTTGGTTGTAACATGACAAAATGTGGAAAATCTCAAGGGGTATGAATAAGTTTTCAAGGCACTGTAGTTACACTGTACCATTTGTGACCATATAATCTGTTACATTTTGCTATTTGGTTATTTCCCTTTTTATCAGTGTTTTGCTTTTATGCATTAACTGGACATAAATCCTCTAAACCAGTTGTGTCAAACTGGCGGCCCTCCAGCTGTTGTGAAACTACAAGTCCCATCATGCCTCTACCTATTGGAGTCATGCTTGTAACTGTCAATCTTGCAATGTCTCATGGAACTTGTAGTTTGGCAACAGCTGGAGGGCTGCCAGTTTGACACCTGTGCTCTAAACCATCATTCTGTGGTCTACTCTTTTGAAGGAGCCTAATATAGAGGTGTTACTAATAAATCATGTCTCCTGAATTATTATTTTATGCTGTTGAAACGTGTCTGAACACAGAGTGTCACAGGTGTCGGGAGGCTTGCAAGGTCAAGGCAACCACTGGGGAAAAGTATGATCAAGCTGCCCCTGCAGGGGTAGCATTACACACGTATAGTTTAAACTGGACTTTAGGTAAGAAACAAGCAAATTAAAACCTAATTCCAGCTAAAGCTTTTCCTGTGGAGAAAGGTTTAAACAATATGAATTAAAGCAGACATTTGGAAGCAGCCCTAGGAGTGTTTTGTAGTTTTTCCCAACCCCTATAATAGTAATTTTTGCTGGATGGCTTCGTCTGTATATAAAAATTTAAAATAAAGTATGTGAATGAAAAAAAAAAAAAGAATTAATATGCTGAATATTCTCATTACAGATATTAATGACATAACTTTGATGGAGAGTGTGATGAGGCTGAAGCATTATGGGTGGAACTGCACATGGGGGTGCGTACTACAAAGATAATCATTGGAGTTTGTTATAGACCTCCCAGTGTTAACGAAGAGGTGAAGACTCAGTTTCTTGCACAGATCGAATAGGCTGCAAGGGCTGGGACAGTGGTAATAATGGGGAATATTAACTACCCGGAAACTGACTGGAGTAATGGCACTGCAGGAACAGTTAAAGGGCAAAAATGTTTAAACCTACTACAGGACAATTTTATGGCACAGTTCATAGAGGCCCCAACTAGGAATGATGCTCTGCTGGACTTGGTAATCTCAAACCATTCAGAGCTTATTACGAATGTCCATATAAAAGAACATCTGGGTAGCAGTGACCATAACATGATTTCATTTATTGTTAGCTGTAAACAGCAAACACATACGGGAAAAATAAAACCGCTCAATTTTAAGAGAGCTAATTTTCCAAGGCTGAGAGCTGCCCCCTGCAGGAGCAAATTGGATCATGCTTTGCTGGGTTTTTTGCCTTCCTCTGGATTAACTGTGTGTGTAGGATTATAACTTTTTTATTTTTTTAATGGTTGAACTGGGTGGACTTTTTTCAGCTGGACTAACTGTGTGTAACTGTGTAACTTTTCCCTTTTATTATAATTATACAGGATATATGTAGTACCAACAGTTTATGCAGCGCTTTACAAAATGAAGGAAGACATTACAGTTACAAAACAATTTGGTACAAGAGGAAAAAGAGGGCCCTGCTCGTTAGAGCTTACAATTTACGAATAGTGGTCCTTAATCGCTTTCTGACCGCCCTATAGCAGATATACTGCTGCAAGGCAGCACGGGTGCGCAAAATCACATGTGTATATATACGTGATTTTGCATCTTCAGGTAGGGGGCGTGCGCGTGCCCTACCTGTGATGCCATTCTTGACCGCGGCTGTCAATCACCAGGTCCTGGCTGGTGATTACTCGCCAGCGCCCAGTGATTGCTGAGGATCTCCAAAGGGGAGGAGAACTGTATGTGAACAATACAGTTCTCCTCCCTGTCAGCTCATGCACACTGCTTTGGATGGAACCCTTTGATCGCCCCTCATATTAACCCCTTCCTGCCCAGTGCCATTAATACAGTGTCAGTGCTTTTTTTTAGCACTGATCACTGTATTGGTGTCACTGGGGATGTCAGTGACACCAACTCAGTTCCCCCCCAGTGTCAGAATGCCCGCCGCAGTCCCGCTATAAGTTGCTGATTGCCACCATTACTAGTAAAAAAAAAAAAAAAAAAAATTCCAGCATGTATACCGCCAATTGTAAATGCTATAATTTCATGTAAATCAATTAATTGAAACGTATTGGGATTTTTCTTTTTAGCAAAGACATGTAGCAGAATACATTTTGGCCTGAATTTATGAAAATATTTGATTTTTTTTTTAATTTTTTACTGGACATGTTTAATAGCACAAAGTCAAAAATATAGTTTTTTTCTCAAAATTGTTGGTCTTTTTTTTTTATAGCGCAACAAATAAAAGACGCACAGGCAATCAAATTCCACCAAAAGAAAGCTCAATTTGTGGGAAAGAGAGGACGTAAATTTAATTTGGTTGCAGCGTTGCATGACCGCGCAATTGTCAATTAAAATAACACAACGCCATAACACAAAAAATGGCCTGGTCAGGAAGGGGGGTAAATCCTAAGGGGGGCAAGTGGTTAACTTTGCCCCTTAAAACAGTTTACAAACAGCCATCACTTTAAAAAGTATGGTAGACAAACACATTGGCTTCCAGATGGTAGCCATTGGGTTTTGCCAGTGATTTATCGGACAAAGTAAATGTTACTGTCTCACCTCTGCAATGCTCCTGGTGATCTTGTGGCTAATAATAGAAGTCATACTAAAGAAGCTCTATGATTACAGCATACACTTTCATTTTATAACCTCTGCATTGTAATAGCAATACAAAAAAGTTATTTTTGATATCCCATTACAAGCTTACTTGAAAAATCTTCTTTCATGTTGTGAGTGTGTACGTAGGTCCAGCGTGATGTGGCTGGCAGAAGATAGAAATATATTATAACAGTAGTCCAGCAACCCGCAAACAGGCCTGCTGGAAAGGCAACCCAACAAGGGGCACTCATGAGCTGTAACAGCAAAGAAGTGGTAGAGCAGTGGACCAAAGGTGCTGACAACATCTGTCTAGAGGAGTGGAATGCAGCCTCGCCAGACC